CAAAAGATACATTAAGAATACTCTACTAGCAAGGAATAAGAGATATCTACACTAAGCATCCTAGTTCTAGCCTAATCATCTTTAATCTCCCTAACCCATGAATTCAAAGGTGGATTACTCACCAATCTTAATGATTCCTCTCAAACCCATATTGGATTCAAGCTTAATCATGTAAATATGAGTAGATAATGCAATGAAATAAACAAGATCACAAGAACAATAAAAATGATTCAAAAGAGATGAACTATTCCAAGAGGTTTTTGTGTTTTCTCCTCCAGATCAAAGATTACTGCCTGGTAGGCTACAAAAAAAAAATTAAACTTAGGTTTAGCAAGTGTAAAACGTCAAGATAAATGACCAAAAGGTCCCTAAAATAACTTAAGTTTCGTCCAAACAAAGACGCGCAGCGACCTGGCCACGCCGCTCCGGAAGGTCGCTCTGGCTGGGAGCGACCTATAACATCGCTCCAAGGTCAATTCTCTTCCGAAATCGATAAAAAGGCGAGCGATCTAGGTACGTCGCTGTCTGCAAGTCGCTCTGGCTTGGGAGTGACCTTGGTAGGTCGCTTTGGGAGGTCGCTGTAAAGGCCTCATTCTGGCACGTCGCTCTGGCTTGGGAGCGACCTTGGTAGGTCGCTCTGGCACGTCGCTCCCAACTCTGTTCGTCCAATGATCACTTCTAACTCCCCTTTTGGACCTCAAATGCATACAATCACCTCCAAGAACTCCAAGGATACTCCAATACCTGATAAGAACTCATGTATGAAAAATGCAACCATCAAAATGCATATGGATGAATGGATAAAACAATGGAAATATGCAAGACATCATCCAGGCACAAGTTAGAATCCTTACTGGCCAGGTTGAGAACCTCACTGTACAAGTCGCTGACCTGGATAAGCTCTGCTTCGAATGAAAACCAAAGGTAAGACTCAATGTCAATAACTGTTTCTAAATGTATCTGTGTGAATGATGAACTAGAACTTAAGTTTTTATAAAATCTAGACTAAAATAATGAATGCTCTGTGTGAATGTTGTTGTGTAATGAACTTAAGTTTTTTTAAAAGCTAGACTAAGCTACACTTAACCGAAGTAGAACCAAAGTAGAACTAGCAGTAGAACTAGTTGTTGTTCGAGTTTTTCAACTGGTTTGATGTGTAATGAATGCTCTCTGTGAATGTTGTTGTGTATTAACTATAAGGAATGTGATGAATGTTGCGGTAATGAATGCTCTCTGTGAATTTTGTTGTATAATGAACTTAAATTTTTTTTAAAGCTAGTCTAAGCTACACTTAACCGAAGTAGAACCGAAGTATAACTAGAAGTAGAACTAGTTGTTGTTCGATTTTTTCAACTGATTTGATGTGTAATGAATGCTCTCTGTGAATGTTGTTGTGTAATTAACTATAATGAATGTTTGGTAGTTAGATTTTGTTTAATTGTTATCTCATGTCAAAGCATAAAGTAGTTTAAAAGGATAGTAAAACCACTTCTGAAAAGGCAGACCAATTTAAAAGAACAAAGAAAAACCAATCTGAAAACACAAACCAACTTAAAAACACCACCCAAAACCAAAATGGATCATTTTTTCCAAAAATCTCTCGGGTTTGTTAACCTATTAGCTTCCCAGAGCAGTGAAACAATAGACGTTGAGTCTTCTGAGGTTCATAGGTTTAGTATCTAGAGCTCTGAAGATCCTAAACCAGTGGAAAGGAAAAGTAGACACCAAAAGAAGACATTGTGCTCATCAGTGCTTGGTTGAATACCAGCAAGGATCCCATAGTGAGTAATGAGCAGAAGGCAAAATCGTTTTGAAAGAGAATAGAGGAGTATTTTCTCAGCTCAGTGGCTTAGCTCCTAGAGAGTCAAGTCAATGTAAGCAGAGGTGGGGAAGAGTGAATGAGAAGGAGTTCAAGTTTGTTGGAAGCTATGAGGCCGCTTTGAAGGAGCAAGCTAGTGGCCAAAATGAGAATGATGTCATGAAGGCTGCCCATAACATCTTCGTAAATGACTACCATATAAAGTTTAGCCTTGAACATGCTTGGAGCGAACTTAGCTTTGATCAAAAATGGAGATCAAACTCTTTGTCCAGAGATGGTGCAAAGGAGAAAATGAAGGAAGCTGCGGAAGTGGTGCCTGACTTGGAAGAGGTTAGGCCTCTTGGTAATAAGGCTTGCAAAGCAGCCAAACGAAAGAAGCATGAGAATGAAGCAACTTTTGATCAATTAGAGAGCATGCTAGTTGTGAAAGAGAACATATCCAACGGAAACTCCTTGATTGTCTCCTTGCCCAAAAAGATGCACTTGCTCATATAGAAGTGTCTCTGAAGAACAAACTCCTATCTGAAATGATTTGATCTGGTCAGTTTAACTTACTTGTTCTATATATTGTTCTTGATTGAATTTGTTTTGTTGATTGAATCTTATTTAACTTGGTTGTCTTGTTGTTCTTGATTGAATCTGTTTTGTTGATTGAATCTGCTTTAACTTATTTGTTGTTTAGATTCACCAATAGAAGAACAAAATAGATATAGGTTTATCACTTTATGATCCCACCGTAGTTATATTATAAAATTCCTATGAACCCTAAAAGAGGGTTCACTAATGGACATGCTCTTAAGTTTGTTACAAGTGTCACAAATTTTTTGATCAAAAAAAAAATTAATTGTCACAAATTTTATTTAACTTAATGTTGGAAATAGCAAATCAAATTTCTTGATAGAAGTCTTGTGCAGGGCCGGCCCTTGGGCCAAGATGTAGAAGCAGCTGCTTCCGGCCAATGCATTTAGGTTCTGTTCGTTTGCTCACCCAAGTGATCCATCTGGGTGAAGATGCAAATCAATGTTCGTTTTGTACATTAAAATGCTTCATCCAGATGGATCACCCAACTGAATTTCTTAAAACTCATCTCAAATTCTCACCCAAATGAGGGTGAGTCTTGATGAAGCATCTGGATGCAGATGCATCTAGTTCAGTCCAAAATAATAAATGACAAAATAACCTCTTAAAATAAATATAATTTTTCAAACCAAAAATACTGAATCTTTTTTGCAATTATATTTTTCCGTTAAAACCAAAAAATGATTTTTTCGCCAAAACCATAAAAACTGAAAAAATGTATTTTCCACCAAAATTGCAAAAATACACTTTCCCGCCAAAACCACAAATACATATTCCCGCCGAAACCGCAAAAAGACATATTCCCGCTAAAACTGCAAAAATACATATTCCCGCTAAAACTGTAAAAACGCATTTTCCCGCCAAAACCGCAAAACGCATTTTCCCGCCAAAACGCATTTCCCGCCAAAAACACTTCAAACACGTTTTCCCGCCAAAACTGTAAAAACACATTTTCCTACCAAAAACGCATTTTCACGCCAAAACCGTAAAAATGTGTTTTCCCGCTAAAACCGTAAAAATGTGTTTTCCCGCTAAAACCGTAAAAACGCGTTTTCCCGCAAAAACTGCAAAAACACGTTTTCCCGTCAAACCATATAAACGTATTTTCCCGTCAAAACCGCAAAAACGCATTTTCCCGCAAAAACCGCAAAAACACGTTTTCCCGTCAAAACCATAAAAACGTATTTTACCGCCAAAACAGCAAAAACGTATTTTCCCCCAAAAACCGCAAAAACAAGTTTCCCGTAAAAACCATAAAAACGTATTTTCCCGCCAAAACCGCAAAAACGCGTTTTCCCGCAAAAACCGCAAAACACGTTTTCCCGTCAAACCATATAAACGTATTTTCCCGTCAAAACCGCAAAAACGCATTTTTCCCGTAAAAACCGCAAAAACACGTTTTCCTGTCAAAACCATAAAAAACGTATTTTACCGCCAAAACAGCAAAAACGTATTTTCCCCCAAAAACCGCAAAAACACGTTTCCCGTCAAAACCATAAAAACGTATTTTCCCGCCAAAACCGCAAAAACGCGTTTTCCCGCAAAAACCGTAAAACACGTTTTCCCGTCAAAACCAAAAAAACGTATTTTCCCGCCAAAACCGAAAAAACGCATTTTTCCGCAAAAACCGTAAAAACCCGTTTTCCCGCCAAATTTGAAAAAAACTGTTTTCCCGCTAAAACCGTAAAAACACATTTTTGTGTCAAAATCGTAAACGTTAATTTTTCCAACAAAACTGGAAAAACACATTTTTCATCAAAATCGTAAAATTCCCGCCAAAAATGTATACACAAATTTATTTTATTCATTTTATTAACAAATTCATTTGGATGCAGATGCAAGTTAAAAACAAACAAACGAACATAGTTAAATTCAGATGATTCATCTAGATGTATAGACGAAATAGAGAAACGAACAACATCCAAATGCTCCATCTGGATAAGGCATCTGGATGGATCATCTGGATGCATCTTTCAGATGTACAAACGAACAGGGCCTTATTTAGAAAATCCGGCCACAAATTAACAAAATAGTTACTTAGTCTGGTGATGCGGTTTGAAGAAAATAGATTTGCTGCGCGTAATCTGGGTTCGAAACCCCTCTAATTAGAATTTTTTTCTTTTTTTTTGTTTGAAAAGTGTCCACTTTTTGATTTTTGCTTCTGGCCTTATTTAACCTAGGACCGGCTCTGGTCTTGTGATATATAAGAAAATAATGGGATAGATCAGAAGAAATCGAGAAATATAAAGCAAATTGCTTGGATACTTTCTCACTGAAGCGAGTAGAGGAATCGTGAAGATTCAAATGAGAGAGAGAGAGAGAGAGAGAGCTCACGTGCTATTTGGCATTGGTGCATGGAAAAGATGAACCACGTGCATGGAGCAATGTGAGCTTACAACTAAATCGTACTATAATATTTTTCTTGTCACCTTTCAATACATGTTGTTCTAGTGTTTTTTCTACTATATATGTTAACATTTTATTATTCAGTTGATAGTATGAAATAGTATTTTAGTAAGTAACGTTTTATAAAATTGCTGTATAAGTACTGTACATCCCAAGTATATAAGCACAAAACTTCTGTAAGAATAGTTACCATTTTCTGAAGTTGATCTTGACCTCTTCAACCTCAGTCACTTAATCAAACCCAAAGTATAAAAACTTCCACATATTGAAGTTTTAAGTTATACATCTTTAGTTTTCACAATAAATCAGCACCTATGCGAACATTATCATTTAAGAGGAGACCTATCCATCCACACTTCCCATCAACTCTCTTCTTCTTCTTAATCTCTCTAGCTCTGTTCATCTCTGGTGTGAGCTCCCGTGTCCTAAGTCCTCTCCCTCTAAACAACTCTATCTTGATCTCTGATGGCATCCATGGCGCCCCTGATTACGAGTTTCTCACTCTAGATCCTCCAAAGAACGTCTCTAAAGCAGCTTGCCTTCATGTCTACGGGTTTCTTCCATGTGCAGACAATATTGGAGGTTATGCCTTCCAAGTTTTTTCTTTTGGGTGTCTCTTGGTCATCGGTGACTATTTCTTGTCTGAAGGAAGATCAAAACTCTTTGTTATTTTCGAGGTCGGTTTCTATGGTGGTATAGTCTTCCCTCTTCTTACAATGTTCCCAAGAATTGCCCTTATGCTCGGTAACATTCCTGTTCTATCACCTGAAACCTTTCTATAGTATTATACACATATTTTGTACAATATTGGTTTTGAGTCTGAAACATTGAGTTTGATTGTTGATCTTAGCGCCTGGACTATCAGCGACACATGATGGTGCACTTGTGATTGTGGGTAATAACGTTGGAGTTACAGTAGGACACACAGTTTTTGCTCTGACAATGCAATGGGGAGCTTGTGTTGTATTTGGTTTGACTAGTCCTAGTTCAGGCCAGTCAACTCCAAGAGGATCCATCAAAAGAACAACTTCTGTAAGATCATATGTCTTTTGTTCCAATCTTTTAGTAACATAGTATAAAATTTAGTAACCAGTTTTTATGGCAATGTTATATATATAGGATACAAAGAATCCAAGAAGAGGGTTTTACAGGATGAAGATACTGAAAAGCGTTGCTGGTATGTTTAAGAAGACTTCTCTTCTCTTTTTATGTGAAGTCTATTCTCAAACTTGGGGTTTTTATATCTCTGCAGAAGCAAGCGTAGATGCGGATCCTAAGAACAAGAAAGCTGCAGGGATTATGCTTCTCACTCTAGCTCCATTTCTCATGGTGACACTACCTGATTTGTTTGGTGCACAATCTTGGAGTGACATCACTATGTTGATCACTCTCATAATCTCGTGTTCTTCAACCATTATTTACTTTCTCTACTCGGTATGACCAGACCTCTCTGAATCAAGAAGTAATCAAAACTGTATTTATGAAAACTCTTTTGCTCTGTTGTCTGACTGGTTAATCTTTTTACTGTGGAAACTCGCAGTATTTTGATACGGCAGACCAAAAGAAGAGCTTAGATCATGCCAAGTTTGAGCTCATGTCGGAAGTTCATAAGCATTTGCAAAGCTTTTCACCTCAAAGCCTTATTAGAGATGGACAACTAAGTAAAGAGAGCTTGAAAAGGTTATATTCTGTTTTAATTCAAGAACTACTTCAATTTGTTCTGTTTTGAATCAAGAACTAAACAGTTTGGTCTGATTTTAATCAAGAACTATTATAGTTTGGAATCAAGAACTATTTCAGTTTTGTCTGTTTTGAATCAAGAGCGCTTTTAGTTTGGTCTGTTTTGAGTCGAGAACTATTTCAGTTTAAAAAAAAAACTATTTCAGTTTGGTCTGTTTTGAATCAAGAACTAATTCACTTTGGTCTGTTTTGAATCAAGAACTTATATTGCAAATTTATCGTTTTGTCTTGTGTAGTTTGTTTGATAAAATCGATAGGAACAAAGATGGGAAGATACAAATCTCGGAGCTCAAAGACTTAACCGTAGAGTTTGGAGTTTTTGGAAGAATGAAATGTGACATCAACGAGTTTGCAAACACTCTACTTGCTGACTTCGACAAGGACAAAGATGGTGAGTTAGACGAGAACGAGTTCGAAGAAGGGATAATGAAACTGCTGAATCAATACAAGTTCGATAACCCAGATACTCCAAGACAGGGCAACACATGCATTTACAGAACAGCATCAGATTCCGTGCATGTCAAGAATCTCTCTCAAGGCGAGGAAGCTGGAGTTTTAAAGCTGGAAATGCCAAAGCAAACACTTGTTGCTAAACTTCTCTCTCTGAGAACCTTAAGAGCTGTGACTAAAGTCGTTGGTGGGATGCTAATAGTCCTGTTTCTTGCTAAACCATTTATGATCAACATTGGACTCTTGTCTGTTTCAGCTGGAGTTCCTTCTTTCTACTCTGTATTTGCAGTGATCCCTTTGGTTAGAAACTTGAAGAACACGTTATCTGCACATTTCTGTCGAAAAAAGGACAAGGCAAGAATTGCATCTGAGAAATTCTCTGAGGTAAGTTAGTTAACTTTTGTCATGCACATTACACTGATGAGAAGCTTAAACTTAAAGAGTTGTGGGTTTTGATGCAGATCTATAGGGATGTTACAATGAACAATCTCATGGGAATGTCGATAGTATTGGCCATTGTATACACGAAAGGATTGAAATGGGATTATTCAACAGAAGCTCTTCTTGTTGTGGTTGTGGGCCTTGCAATTGGCTTACCAGCTTATGTGAGATCTACTTATCCGTTCTGGATTAGTGTATTGGCATTTGCTATGTATATCTCCTCTCTTGTTTTAATCTATCTCCATTTTCATTTGAGAGGTCAGAGCTAAAGCTTTCACCTTTGAGTTCTGATCATACTGAAAGTTTATCAATTTCTAATTAAGTGTTTTTTCATTTTCATAATGTTGATGAGAGCTTAATAAAACATGTTCTCTTTGATTAACCTTGCAGTTTTGTTTTGTTTTTTTTTTTTTGAATTGAATGTTAAATTTAACTCAAAAAAGAAAAGTCCTTATTACAATATGTGTCCTTTTTCTAAACTTTTGCAAAATTTGAAACAAAACAGAAATTTGAAACTCTCTCTTCATCTTCATCTTGCTCAAATAAAACCCAAAATTATGTCTAGCATTCACTCCTACTAAACACCCAGCTCTCACTCCTACTGGTTTCCATGTTCTCCTTTAACTTCTTTATCCAACACTCACTCTTACTGGATAACCAGCACTCACTCCATGTTCTCCATGTTTCTTTCTTTCTATTAAACCTATGATTAGAACCAGAGTCGGTCTTATGCATAGCAAAGTGAAACATTGGTTTTGTACCCCTAAGTTCTCTTAAGAAATAATAGACATGACATAGGCTCTCAAGTTATTAAAAATTCTTATTAAATTGGTTTGGCCTCTAAAAGTTGAAGACTCCCTAATTAAAACATTATGGGGTTTGAGCTCATATCACAAGCTCATATGAGATAGATAGCTAAATCTTGAGAAGTTAATATACATGACATAGACTCAAAATGAAACATTGGCTTTGAACCCCTAAATTCTTAAGAGTTATAATATACATGACATAGACTCAAATTGTGAAAAATTCTTACTAAATTGTTTTTGGCCTCCAAATTTTATGACCGTCCTGATTAAACATGGTACGGCTTGAGCTCACATCATAAGTTCATAAGAGATAGATAACTACATTATGTCTTGATTAGTCTTTTGCAGATTGATGAAACACAAATTAATCAAGTTGCATGGAAGTTAATTAATATATCCAAAGTTGCATAAGACATAATGTAGTGAATTTTTTTTATCTTGCAAAAAAATCTCTATAACTTAAGGCTGAGATCGATTCCATGATCAGCGGCAGATTCATGTGGCTCAATGGCAAGTTGTTCTCGGTCAACATTGCTCTGATCATTAGAGGGTATAAAGCTATAGAAAGTCTTCATACTTCTCCTTTGCATGTTCTCGTCAAAGTCTTGCTCTTGTTGTTGTTGTTGTTGTTGTTCATACTAAAATCAAGATGGTTTGATGAAGTATAGTAAGCAACTTGAGCAAATAAAGACATACATAGCAAAAAGGAAGGTCTCAAATTTACCTGTACGTTAAAATCACGTGTAATGGAAGTAGGTGATTCAATGGAGATAGGGTTGCAAATCGTTGTACCGGAATATTGATTCGGACTTATCAATCTCATATCCAACGACCGGTTATGTTTGGACTCCCTTAACATTCTCAAATAACACATCAAGATTAGGTTATTGGTACATAAAGAAAATGGGTGAATCCAAGAAATAAATACACAAAAAACCTTGAGATTGGTTGTTCAACGCTAGCTTTCGTGGTGGTGTCTGTGAGAAAATGCCATGGCCTCTTCGCTCTCATGACCATCTATGAAAAAAAATCAAAGCAATAAACAAAAAAAAATCAGAAAACGTATAATAATATATATATGGAAAAAATCCGAACATGCCTTTTCTTCTTTCTGCAGAAACTGAGAGACATTATGGACGCAAGATCTTTGGTTTGAAGGGGGCTCTATGAACTGGCATAATCTTCCTGGTCCTTGAGATGGATTCGCGAGATTCATCTGCAAGATTATGATATATGTATATTTTTTTAAAAAACATGTTTCGTAAACTTGTATCGTGTCATTACAAAACGACAAAGTGATAAGTCATGTTCACTCTTTCTCTGTTGTTACCGTATGATGATTCGGATAATGCTGCTCCTTCTGAAAAACCGGCATAGGGAAAGATCCGTTCGAGAAGTAAGACGACAACGGCAAAGCAAAGTTTGGAGGCATAGCCGTCGCCGGTGGCCGGAAAATAGGATTAGTGGTGTAAAAAGACGGAGAAGGAAGCTGTGGAGGAAGAGGAATGAGAGTGTTATCGGTTCTTGGTAATGATGAAGCAGATTTGTTCTCTTCTTCTAGACGGATCTTTTCGAGCTCGGCCACACCTGGTCCTCTTCGTCGTACTTTATCTTGCTTTTGTTTTTTAGGACAAGAACCAAAGTAGTCGTCTTGTTGTAAGTCTCTGTCTCCTCCATAGCTTCCACTGCTTATGTTACTACACATTTTCATCTGCTTCTGAGTTGAAACTGGATCTTCTTGTGTGTGGGAGTTTAAAGAAAGTTCAAAGTCTCCATGTTTTAAGATCTCTTTCTCTCTTTCGAATGTACCATCTGGAGATAGAGAATCTTCATCGGTTTCCGTGATTCTCTCTGAAAATATTGTGATTCTCCTCCACCTACTAAGTTTTATTATTGTTAAAAGAAAATCAATTTATGTTCCTTTTCTTTGTTAGTTGAAATATTACTTGATGACCCTTGTAGTTATTTATGTTTGACAGATTGATCTCTTTATTTTTCTTACTTAACAATTTTACGAAAATAGAAAGTTTTTTTTATAACCAGTGAAAAACAAGGTTCAACTCGTACGTAAAATAAAAGTTTGAATTAACCTCATGTGTTACCCCATTAAAGATGTAATTTGTACAATATGATCAGGTATGAAGAAAGTTTAGTTTCTTTTAGATTTTCAGATTATTGATAGTATGTTCATAAATTTTACTATGTGTTTTTATTTTTTGGAATATCTAATTACTCGATAACATGGTAAAACCCGTATACACTACTCAAAATATGTGAATATTCAAAAGTAATAAAATACAAATATGATATAAATTATTTAACTTCTCTAATTACACTTTAAAATGTCCAAATTACTTAAAATTAGGTTAAAATGTGAATTTGTAATTTTGTCTAGTTAACTTCCATACATTTTTGGATATTAATTTGAATTGCGGTCTGGTTCTAGTATTACCTAATATCTGAAGTATTTGGCTCTAAAGTACATCATGTATTTTCTTAGAATTTTATTGGATAAGTTTGCTATTTAGTAGGATTCAGATTTCTGATTCAGTTATAAATTCTTAGGCCTAGTTTGGACAAATATGTTATTCCATGCTCATCTGATTAGTCACCTAAACTATGTGCCTTTTAGGAAAATGAATCATATGTGTTTATTAATTTACATTAAGAGTAGGGGTCTTTATGAAAATTATATATGTGGAAAATGAGAATTTCTAATTCAAGAAGCTGTCGAGAATCAGAGAACGTTAATGATTAAATCGTATTTAATTCTGTTAATCGATAGTTTTTTTTTTTTTTTTTTTTTTGATAAAGGGCTTATTCGGTAAATCGATAGTTGAAATTATAACTTATATATGGTCTCAATAACAAAAGCGAGCAAACATATAATACAAGACCCACTTGTGAAATGTGATTTAATAAGTTTCTTGTCTTTTACTCTTCATTTTCTGTTAGAATGGTTATGACTATCAATAAATTTATGTATTGGGAAAAAGTTCCAAACATACTACATGCATTTTGCACCTTGTTCTGTCCTAACTTTTATTTTTTGTTTGGTTTATGTTCTATCTTATAGTTTCATAATAGGTTGACTATATATAAAAAATCATGATATACATAGTTTCTCCATTTTGTAAATGAGATCTCATGGTCCCATACAATATCTGATACGAATAATATATAGTTGAGTTAACTATATTTTGTGCTAATTTCCCCTTTAATACGTAAACATCACAATAATGATGCATGCATCATGCATACTCTTGCATCATCTGTATCAAACTGTTTAATAAATTGACCTCCTACTTGAAAATGGGCGATACCCTACGTTCCAACTCAAATCACGTGCTCAATATTTTCAGAATCTATGATATAGCTATACAGAGAAGATTACACTGTTATCCCTATGTTTTTTTCTTTCCCTATGTTTTCTAAGACAGCGTACGAACGCTGTGATACAAAAAGATGATTGAGTTTGTTAATCCTATAATAATTTAATCGAGTAAGCAATCATCTGAAATTTGGGTTTTGATTCTCACGTTGGAGGATCAACTGTAATCAGGATTCGATAATGCGTAAGATCTTCTTGGAAATGGTTATACAAAATTGCATGATTTGTGTCAGTGGTTAGATTTGCAGCATTAGCAGTTCCATAATCCTTTTTTATATCGAACGGCTACTACGAACATGTTTATCGCATCTATACTATTAAAGCTGAAGTACATAAAGTTAAGTGTTTAGAAACATGAATTTATACTATTATTTAATAAGTAAATTTGCTTAGTTGTCATGTTCTCCATAAATTTAGGTAATTTTGTTTATTTATCATATTTTAATATTTATATATTTTTATTTATAAATAAAACAAATTTATATGAATATATCATAATTTTAGTAAATAAGATAATTCTTATGAATTATATTTATATGAATATATCATACTTTTAGTAAATAAGATCATTCTTGTGAATTATGTTATTATCTTCAACATAATTTTATATAAACTTAAATTTCAATACTATTATTTAAGAAGTAAATTTGCTAAGTTGTCATGTTCTCCATAATTTTAGATATTTTTATTTATTTATCATATTTTAATATTTATATATATTTTATTTATAAATAAAACCAATTTATATGAATATACCATATTTTAGTAAATAAGATAATTCTTGTGAATTATGTTGTTATCTTTGAAATACATTTTTATATATAAAACTTAAATTTTAAATTAAGATATAAACACTATTATATTTATCTAAAAAAATTTATATTAATAATTTAATATTTAAATATAACTAAACCGAATTTATATTAATAATTTAATATTTTTTTAAAATAAGATAATCATTATGGATTATGTTCTTATGTTGAAAATATATTTTCCTATTATAAACTTAAAATTAAGATATAAAAATTATATTATTAAAAATTAAATATAAATGGTAATTAAATATAAATCATCAAAACAGTTATTTGAAAAGTGAATGTGTTGATTTGTCTCCATGATCTTAGGTATTTAATTATATGTCATAATTTCTATAATCTTATATAGTTATTATATAGTTAAAAAATGATCATATTATATTTTCATAAAATAAATAACTTATGCATTATATTGTTATCTTGAAAATATGTTTTTTCTAATATAAAATTTTAAATTAAGATATAAATATTATAATTAAATATAAATCAAGGAAAATAGTTATAGAAATATATTCTTTTAAATATTTCTGATGTTTGAGTTTTGTCATTGATAATTATTTGATGTTTGATTTTTACTTTTTGAAAACATAAATAATAACTTATTATGCTGATTTTTAAATTAATAAAACATCAACTAATAAATATTCATAAGATAATTATGCCCGCAAGTGCGGGTAAAACACCTAGTAGAAATATTTAAAATTATGATGATTGGAAACAAGGATAGCCTACAAATCTAATGAGCTTATTTATTAAAATAAAGATTATTGTGGCCCAAGTGTTATTATTATTGTTTTTGGGTTTCCTATCATTGATATTACTTTACTTTTGAAAATTATTTATACATATATGTATTCATGTTTTAAATGTATTTAGAATAAATCAAGAATAATATATATTTTATTTATATAATTTATATTGACTATTGTTCTAAATTTTTAACAGTGATATACTAGTCTTCCAATTCTTCATTAAAAAGTTAACTTAAAAATTTGACTAAATTATTTAGTGTATATAACTTTGCATCAAATTTAGCCAAAAAAAACTTTATAAACTATTACTAAAATGTTTACGGGTCACAACATTTTACGACGCTCCTGTTACACAATATAGTGATAAAATACAATGTTTAAACAATATACTATTACTTAGTAAAATTGGAACCATTAAATTGTAATTTTGAAATGTTATATATACCATAAAAACAAAGACCCGTCCAGTCGGGTGGATTATGATCTAGTGAACTCTTAAAGTGGAATTCTTAATAACAAAATATCATTATTTAGTATATTATAAATACATAATTACATTTTAATTAAAATTAAATAGCTAAACTAATTAAAAGTTGTCAAGTGGAAGAAAGATACAAGATTAAGTTAAGAGATGTTTCTTACATCCCATAAATAAGAGACATATCTTAATTTTCTTTTATATTTTTAATTATTTTTTTATATTTTAATAGTTAGAGATTTGATAAGAACTTTACAACTCTAAAGTTCCATAATCTTGATCAACGGAATATATATTATTAATTTAAATTAATTTTTATATTTATAAATCTCCAACGGTCCAACATAATAACTCGTTCAGTCGTTTGTTTGTTGCTAGAACTGATAACAGTTTACGATATCTAGTGGTACATCTTTTCATTTACAATTTACCAGCTGCTTTAAGTTAAACACTTGTAATTATATAAATTAAAATTACAGTTATTATAGTTTTAAATATTTTGCCTCATAGCCAAAATTTAAGGTGAAAATATTATTTCTACACAGATTATTACACAGATAAGCTGTAACAACTAATGGCCTTCTCCTTATGTCACGATTACTGTAAGTTTACTGAAGTTTGCAAAAAAAGACAATCATATTTTTTTCTGGAACTAAAAATTATATTTTTCCTGAAATTTATTAAAGAGTAAGATAAAATATGTGAAAAGGAATTAGGGTTTCGTTGAAAATTAAGATCAATCATCTCTACATGATTTTTTATGTTATCAAAAAAATAGATTTAATTTAATTTCTTCATGATCTTAGCTTTTCAGAGACTATCCGTTCGCGTCCAAAACTCAAAATAGTTTTTATATATCACTTCTTAAAATTCTCAAGCTTTCTTACAAAATAATATTAACTACTAAAGATATTAATCGTATCAATTACCCTAATTTAAAGCCAAGTTATATATTGATTTTCCACATATATATATATATATATATATATATATATATATATATAAGACTACTAAAACCAATTACAATATTATTATATAGACAATGGTATTTACAACATTAAAACATTGCTAAATTTTAGTGACTACCATATATTTTTCTATATTTTTCACAATTAATGGTATGTTACTGAAGGTTAATCTTTAAAATACTTGGACACTAGTCCAAGTAACTTTAATATTGATTTATACAAATAACTGACCTCAGCTACTTGGTAAGTATAACTCAAATCCCTTAATCACTTAAATATTAACTTGCGAGCCAAAAGTAAA